TTTATATATTTAAAAAATCTTTTTAAGAACATTATTTTCTTAGTAATAAACATTATATTTATTGGACCTGTTAAATCATTTTAAGTTGTTGGGTTTTTAATGTATTATTTTTAAACGGATGCCCAAAGAGAATTTTTAAATTTTTTTTTTAATAAGGAGGCAGAAATACCCACTACAGACAATGAATAGACAAAACACGCCTTCCAAAGAAAAATGTCTTATAGGACAGTGTTTAGTCTACAACCATACACATCATGATCAACAGTCAGTAAATAACCCAAGGCTGTTCATGTTAGCAGTCTGTGCCAGGAACAGTTTGAATACTCTTAACTTATGTACAAGTATTTGCATTTAGTCAAGCCTATATGGTTTCCTGCTAATCTTTCATATTTATGTTCACTGAATCACAGTACATCAGCCATCATGGCTCGCTTTACATGTATATTTGCATACTAACTGAAGAATGAGAGGGGAAACTTGGAAAAAATGTATTAAGATTTTGTCCATTGGGATTTCCCTGGTGGTGCAGTGGTTAAGAATCTGCCTGCCAATGCAGGGGACACGGGTTCGAGCCCTGGTCCAGGAAGATCCCACACACCGTGGAGCAACTGTAAGTCCATGTGCCACAAGTACTGAGCCTGTGCTCTAGAGCCCGCGAGCCACAACTGAGCCGTGGCGCCACAACTGCTGAAGCCCACGCGCCCTAGAGCCCATGCTCCACAACAAGAGAAGCCACGGCAGTGAGAAGCCTGCGCACCACAAGGAAGAGTAGCCTCTGCTCACTGCAACTAGAGAAAAGCCCGCGTGCAGCAACAAAGACCCAACTCAGACCAAAAAAAAAAAAAAAAGATTTTGTCCATCACAGTTTGATCGACCTGTGGATCTGTCTTATTTATTATTTTATTAAATACTTTTCAGCTGCAACCTAAGATCATGTTTAACCTAATTTATATTGACATATTGCTAAGAATCAGTTGGCCCGTTGGAAAATACATGTTTATAGTTTACTCTTTCAAACAACTTGGGAAGTTGATGAAATCATGTGATATAGTTGAGAGAGATTCTTCTGAGCAAAAGATGTGTAGCACAGAATAATAAATCCACAGCCAAAATGCACCTACTCATTTCTTCTCAATTCAGAGGAAGAACAGACCCAGGGTGAATTTTAGCTCCATTACCTACTGCTTTGAGAAAAACACCTATGAGCTCCACTTCTAGCACAGTGGTAATGAGACCTCCTTGCAAAGGCAGTTCTGAGAATCCAGTGAGGCAGGGCATGTGTGGGTCCTATGTAAATGTTACTCATTCTGCTCAAGATGTGTGTGCTTTGAAGCACTGAGCTCAGGGACATACCAGCTTACGCCTGTAGCCACCCAGGCCTGTGTTTCTGACGTGTAGCTGGGTCTTCCAAGTAATGCTGCAGGTGTTCTGAGTAGTGCTTTCCTTCTCAACTTACTTGAAACCAGGAGGCTCTTGTGCCTAGGAGGGAGCCTAAACCATCTTGCAGGCAGACTTTTCTAAAAAGGTGATTTGCATCCCCTTGCTACATTTTTGCCATGGGAAATGACACTCTGGCTCCTTGAAAATGGCTAATAACCATCCGTGGGTAAATGCCAATCAAGCCAGCCAGTTGGCTCTGAAGACATTTTCCTTGAAAGCCACGGCCCAGGTTTTGCAGAGGCCGGGAGATGAGTGTGAGTGCCAGAGACCTCCTTCACAGAAAAGCCTGTTGCATGTGCTACCCTGGAAGTGAAGACAGAGACAGGGATGCCGCTGTGAAGGCTGCTATTACAGAGAGACAGTCTCTTAGGTAACCAGATGGCTTGTTGTCATTTTTCTTTTTTTGTGTGCAGAAAATCCAGCTGTAATAATGGCCAAGATTCCTCACACAGAGAAATCGTGTGGCAGACATTTTTAATCACCAAAGTAAGGTCTTTCTCTTTTAAGATGAAGAAAGATAAAGAGCATCGTTTTGGGATATGAGTTTATCATCTCTTCCTCCACACCCATTAGTCCTCAGGAAAGCTATCTTTTGTCACTTAATTTGGAGCCTCTAAAATGGCTTTCACACTTTGCTGTCTTGGTCCACGGACTGTGGTACTTAGGGAGTGGAGACTTGCAAAATTAACCTCCAGTATTCTTCCAAAATCAGTTTTATTTTTTGTGGAGTCATTTGTGCCTACCTGGGAGCATTTTTTTCTCTTTTTATGAGGTTGTTATTTTAATATTTTTTTCTGCCTAATGGTGGCAAGGAAGAAACACTTTCCATGAAATACAGAAGGGGCAGGAGAATAGCTGAGCTGTGAGAAAGTACGATATGATGCTTTGGTCTTGTGATTGTTAGGATATATACTTGTCAGGAATGGATGCAATCTTAGGATGTTGTATTATCCAAACTATGAACTTTGGGATCCAGACAGCTTAATTTAAGCATGTTTCCTTTGCTTTGTCTCAAGAATTTCATTTTTCTTTAGAGGTTTTCCTTTTAGGCTCTTGGATTTATGAGTAACAGAAATGAAGGCAGGGATACCAAAAGGTATTTTAAAATAGAATTGTATACAAAACATGGTAATTATTGACTTTTTTTTTTTTAAATGAGAGAGAATTGAGAGAAGTTTTGAGTTCAGTGCCCTCCTTCCTCCCTCCCTCCCACCAGGTACTTTGTGGGAAAGCAATGGCAGTGCTTTGGGAAGAAGCATTAGGTTTGTGAAAAGAAATGAAGAGTGGACAGGTCCAGGGTAAGCAAGGGACTGAGAGAAGGAAAATGATGGCAGCAGAGGCAGACCTGGACCCTAAAAGCATGCTAAGATCCCTCAGGAGGTTTTTAGTAATAAGCCCGCATGCCACTGTGCGAACCTGAAGGATGGGAGTGCATCTGCCCCTGCCCAGCCCCTACCGGCACACTTGAACTGTCCTTGCCCTTCACCTGCACGCCCTACAGCTCCAGAGTCTGCGCTGCTGAGTGAGGTGGTGGGGAAGGGCGAGTGAGACATAGCTCATCAGGAGACAAGACAAAAGCCCTCACTTTCTCCGTCACTCTCCGCTCAAGCATCTGGGGTCTCATTGCCAAGATTCTTAATCACCTCTTAATACATGCTCTGTTTCTTGGCTTGTCAGGAGGCTGATGGCAGCATGCTATTGACAGGTGAGTGTGAACTAAGTGCCAAAGCAGAAGGAAATGGAAAGTGAGAGAATTTCAAGTTTCACTGAGAGTGGAGTCCACGCATGTTTTGTTTTGTTTGGTGTGGTTTTTGTTTGTTTGTTTGCCTTCTTCTTAAAAGGGCCCAGTTGGAAGAGAATTCAGGGAACAAATATTAGTCAGCAGATTAGGTTCTGAACTGGATAGACTTTGTACCTTGGCATATGAGTGGCTATCCTAGAACCTTTTGAACTTTTGCCACCGAGTAATTCTGAAAAGGCGGACAGAGCCAGTGGTAGATAATGGGAAAGAGCACGGTGTCCTCTGCTCAAGTAATCAAGGTACATATTATTCAGGTGGGAAAGGAGACTAGCTAGTTCAACAGAGTGATAGCATGGAATTGCAGGCTCATTTGGAGATGAAGGAATGGATCACAGATGGTCGATGGGCTTGATTTTTCTCTGAGAATTCACTATTGTTTTGAGAATAAGCAGAGCTTAGAGGAAATGGCCCAGATTTTACACTTAGGAAAGAACTCTTATTCAATTCTCCATTTGACCACTTTCTAGCTAAGACATCAGGACAGTTACTTAACTTCTCTGACCCTGCTTCCTCAACTGGGAATATGAGAATAGGACTTTTGCAGATCTGTTGGGAAATATTAAGACTAAAGGGAGATTAAAATGAGATGCTAACGCTTAGCAGGGGCTTAATGTCCATCAGTTTCTTTCTTTCAGTCAAAATTTAAGTTTTTATGTAGAATAATCATCCTTTATATTCTGTTCTCCATGTTGAGTTTTGAAACAGGAATGACTTTTATTTAAGCTATCACCTTGATGATAAAAGGAGCTGTTTTATCAGAGACAGTGCCGTAGGTGCCTTGCAACCTGATAGATTCGTGTGCAAGGGCACGCAGGGTACCGGTGAATCTGTCCACACCTGGAAGCCCAGAAACTGGGCACTGAACGCATAAGCGGACTCCTAGAGCTGGTACACTCTGCCTATGGCAGATTCTTAAACCACCTGTTTACTGTCTTTTAAACACTACCCCGAAGTTCACCCAAGTCAGAGGGTGACAACATGGACAAACGCAGAACTTTGGAACTGCTCTGTGATTCATACACCCAGAGAAATACTTAATTGTTTTCTGGAAGAATGCACTATATGATGATCTTTTGTGTGGAATTGGTTTATGTAAATATTAGGGCACTGTGCCGGTAAGGATCCCAGTAGACAACTAGCCTAGGAGCCCGGAATACTTTTTTTATCTTTTATTTTTTTTGGCAGTTCGTGGCTGCTGCATGAACGCTCTCCCTTTTGAGTCAGCCAGGCGCAAGAGAAGTAATTTCCCATCCAGAAGCTCTTTCGGCAGCTGAGCTGTAGTGGATATACTGGGATGTGGCTAAGTTTAAAATTGTGCGTAAATCCAGCTTCCTCTCCCCTGGAAAGGCTCAGCTTGTCTTTATACCTTCCCCTCCGGCCGATTTTTTTTTTTTCCGGGGGCGGAGAGGAGAGGAAAGGAGGAACACTGAGGCAGGCGGACAGCTTGTAGTTGACTTAGGTCCGCGCGGGGAGGGGGAAACCCAGGCGGGGGCTGGAAGCGGAAGGGCTGCCAGTGCGCCGCAGGCGAGGCCGCCGGCAGGGGGAGGCCGGGCCGCGGGCAGCCACCTCGCGGGCCGCCGGGGTGGCGGGTCGCCCTCCGGGAGAGCGCTGGGTGCCGCGGACCGTGCGAGGCGGGCGGCGGTGGTTATGCAACCCGCAGCCCCCTCGTCCGCCCTCCTCGCCGGCCTGAGTCCCTCCCTCCGCTTGGCCGGCACTCGGATCTCTCTCGGTCTTTCTCTCCCCTGTGTGTTTCAAACAGGAAGTGCAGGGCTGTCTGTAACGTGCCGCCGGTCCCAGGATGGAAGAGTGAAGTCGCGCCGGTTCCAGCTCGCGGAGCCCGCCGGAAGCCAGTCCCCGGAGAGGAGAGCGCCCTGAGGGAGCAGGGTGGCCGCCTGGTCCAGGTGCGGGGCTGGGTTGCGAGCCCGCGGGCCGGGCGCTGGGCTGTCACTCAGTCATTCAGCGGATCTGCAGCTCCCGCGCTGCAGCCTCACTCGCCTGTGCCTTTTCTAGGTTGCGCCCCGCTGGCTGCTTTCTGTCCAGGAGGATCTCTCCAAACTCTGTGGCTCTGCTACCCGGGTGCGTTGGACCCCGGCGATAAGGCGCGTGGCAGCACGCGGCGCCCACGGGACCTGCCCTGCTTCCTCACCCACCCTAGGCAGGAGCTTTCCAGGCTGGGCTGCTTGTGCCCGGGAGGCTTCCCAGTCCTCAGCTGCCCTCTCCACCCTCGCCTCTCCTCCTCCTGCCGCCTGAAGCAGCGGCTCTTTGTTCTTCACTTTGTTCTCCAGGCCAGGGGTTATCTACAGAAATGGGTGGCTTGGGTGTTATTAAGAGTAATGTGAGTGGGAGGGGTGGGGACCTGGGGGAGAAGGAGGATGAGTTGAGGGTGATTTGTAAGGTGGAAAGGGGAGCAAGAGGCTTGGTGTCCGGGCTAAGAAATCTCACCAGCTCCTCAGCCGGTGAAACAGAGGAGTCCAGGCTCTTTGCTTTCCATTTTGGAAGAGCCAGGCTGTCAGGAACTGAGGGAGTTGGTGATGCAGACACACACTGGAAAGGTAGTGACCGAGAATGAGGGGAAGCTAGTTCTGAGATGTTTAGTCTGATGTCTGGCTTGTTAATTCCAGTTGTGGATTCTTAGCCAGCCTCTCTTGCTGAGACAGAGGTACTTTTAAAGGTAGAAGCCCGACATCTTTATTCATTAAATGCCATTTTTCATCAGAGTAAAATTGAGAACGACTTTTCTCAAATTCACTGGGTAGGTTACAGTTTCACATTGCTTGTCTTACTCCATCTCAGAAGTGCATAGGTGGAGAACAAAATGCTAGAGGAAAGGTTGGTTTTATGCGCAGAGTTTTTGCTTCTTCATTTCCCTGGCAGCTCCTCTGCGGACTAAATCAGACGGACTTTTCCGTCTTGTTTCCCCACCTTTATTTGTCTACCTGGTTGAACTCCAGTCTTGTGGAGGGACACTAAAGGAGGTGTGATGGTTGAGAGGAGGCGAGAGGCAGTTTGATGGGAAGATTGTAGCCTCAATTTAAATGTTTGGATGAAGTTAAAGCCAGTAGTATCTTCTTTCTCTTTCTTTTGGAAGAAGGGATCCATGCAAATGACTAGAGGGGAGGAAAGTGAGATTCTGCAAAGAAGAGCCTCTTTCTGTAGCAGGGAGGGAAAGTGCAAAATCACAGTACTATGTGCACTTAGCCCCTTCACCTTATTGGGTGGTCAAGCTTTCTCGGGAAGCAGGGCTGGTTGTAGAATTTAAATTTGTGATGTCCTATGCCGACTATACCACTCTAATGCTGATGTTTTTTGTAGTGAAATATTATTTACTACATAATTAATTTTGCTTTGAGAGGAAAATCTTTTGTAGTTACTCAGCCTGGTACATTTGTACTTTCCCCTCCCTCCCTTTCTTTTTCTTATTAGCAGCATGGACGTAATTTAAATTATAAGATCCCATTATTCCAGTAGCCTTCAGAACTTTAATCTCTTTTAAAACGCAGGTGCTTTGAGCATTGTGATATTATCAGTAATTGGCATAATTGTGTTAGCATTAAGTAGCCAAGATACACTATGAGCGCTGAGCAATTAATTTTATCTTTTTCTAGATAGATGTGGACTTCTTAAGTTTGAATTTAATTGTGAGAAGCCTGTGTTTATGCCTCTTCTTGCCAAATACATCATGAGATTAAAAGTGAAAACAAGTCATTAAGAGAAACTCTTGCAAGACCTGTACAACCGTAGTATTTTGCCTCTATTTTTATACCCAGGTATACTCCTGGCTCTCTGATTCATTAATTCACCTGAGGACCTTCCTCAGCATCTGTCATTCTGTTTCAAGATAAAATAGAACAGCCTTTGTGACCTCCCAAACTTGTCCCCTATTTAGGAACAGGATTTATTCCCACCCTAGTGGAATTTGATACTAATTAAATAATAACCCAGGAATCATAATAAATGGCCTTCAGATCCTCATTGCGCATTTTCTATATCTCCTGTATAATTTATTACTCTGTTTAACAGTCTGAAATAGGATTCATTTATTCTATTTGGTGGAGCGAGGAAACTGAGGCTGATAAAATGTGACTTGTCAGTGGTCATACTAGTAATTGGACATGCTGGGACTTGAACAAGAGTCTTCTGCTTTATAGTGCTTGGCTCTCTTGTAATCTGGAAAGTGGCCGCTTAAGGAAGAGATGGCAACGCTGATTCAGATGGTCTTTTGCTTTTCTAAAAGAGAGCTGATAAACACTGACTCGAGATTAACTTCACCTAAATCTCCAGGTCTTTTCCCATTCCTCTCTACCCAGAGCTTAGGGGGTTTTATTGTTGTTGTTGTTTTTTCCATGTTTGAAATTTACACTTCCTCTGTGTTAGTGACTAGATTTAGCTGTGTTTGCATCATTGTGATTTGTTTTCTGCTGCCAACATTCTAATGGCATATTTTAATTTACAGATATTTTATGTCAGGTCTTAGTGAACAGTATCTTTTTGAAAGGTCAGATTAGCATATTTTAACTTCTTAGAGTAAAAAACAACATTTCTGGTTTACCCCTAGGACATAGTTTACATCCCAGAAAAGAAATAATAAATTAAAAAATTAATAAATGATGTGTATAGCTCTCTTCATACTCCACTACCCTACATAATGTATGACCACTGTACATAGCCCCCCAACTTCCCCACCCCAGTTCAGGATAACTCACTGAAAAGCTTATATTATAAAATACATGGGCAAATCCATATATACTTTATATATTAAATATTTTTATAATACTCCCCAGATGGAAATAAGTTTATTTTTCTTATTTTTGCAACATTTAATGTTGAGGCTCTCTTTAGCTAGGAATTTTATGTTACACCGAGAAGAATATAAATTAAAATTTAGAGTATATTTTCAGTGGGATATGCTGGATAAAATATTTATTTTGTCTTCAACAATTGAAGTATCTGTAGTGATCTATAACTTCCCCTTTGTAGAATTGTGTCAAAGCATCAGGAGAAGGGGGAGAAGGTGGGGGAGAGGGAGGGGGAGGAAAGGGAGATAAACTGAGTGATTTTTTTTTTTTTTTTTTGCGGTACGCGGGCCTCTCACTGTTGTGGCCTCTCCCGTTGCGGAGCACAGGCTCTGGACGCGGAGGCTAGCGGCCATGGCTCACGGGCCCAGCCGCTCCGCGGCATGTGGGATCTTCCGCAACCGGGGCACGAACCCGTGTCCCCTGCATCGGCAGGCGGACTCTCAACCACTGCGCCACCAGGGAAGCCCCTGAGTGATCTTTTCTTTTATAAGTAAGGAATGGAATGATATATGCATATTTTCTTAATACACAATGCACTGCCACTTCTGTCTGTTTTAAACAGTTGCAATGGCTTGTGAACTAAGAATGAAAGGGTAGCTAGCTTTGATGTTAAATGCCAAGGAAAAGTTTATGGCCAAGAGAGGACTAGGAATGGAGATAAATGTGCATTAGGATTTTCATTTTTTCAAAACCCTCTCTCTTTTCCTTCATGTCTATTATAAAATAAAAACTATCTTCAATTGGAAATTGTGAACTTTAAAGCAGTGGTTCTCAACCCTTACAAAAATCAGGAAACTTTTATTTACTACTAAAGGATTTCAAAGGTTTTGACTTGTTCAGAGTTTTACTTCTCATTTCTGATGATTGGTAATATTTAGTGACAAAGTCACTCTTTAATATTACTTAACTGGATATATATTATAAAGAATCACCACAGCATTTTCCCGTATTTGTAAAATAGTAGTACATGTATGAGTGGGACAGGGGTTCAGTCTACCGACTTCTGCCAGGGTCCTGAAGTCCACAGGTTGGGACTCAGGACTGAAGTAAAACAACTGCTCCAGGCTGCGGATGCAGAAATGGTGATGTACGTTACGTTAGCCGTCAGGTTATAAAGATTCCCAAGTGGAATTTTTCGTCTTCGTTGTACATTAAATAGGTAATGTGTAAAGTCCTAACTTTGGATCTGATCTTGTTTCTGGGTTAATTGTTTTCATGGTCAGCTTTGAGGTCCTGTAGTTACTCAGTCACGGATAACTGGAGTTCTTCTAAGAGCATTCTCCCGACATTCTGCCTACGGTGCTTCCTTATTAAGTTTGTTGAGTCAGGACTCCGACACCAGTCCCAGGGTCCCCACTGTCATAACTGCCACCATCTGCAGCCTTGTATTCATTTCGCAGAAGCTAAAAGAGCCCTCCCAATCTTAACTTTTACAGTTTTCAATAAGTGTATAGAAGGAGAGAGATTATTTACCCTGTTCTGTAGTGGAAAAAGCTGGCATATAGGTTCATATTGAATCTGTCTCTCTGATTTCCATGCCCATTGCTGAGGTTTTGGTGTTCTGTTGAAGGCAGATTAGGCAGGGCACCAAAATCTGTTAGGGTTAGTGCATGATGCTCTTTTTTCTGGTTAAAAAAAAAAAAAATCACTTTCTATTTATTGAATGCTTTATTTGGATTATCTGTAATCTTCCCGGTGTTGTGCAGCGTGGGTAATATCCCGCTTGTATAGGTAAAGAAACTGAGGCAAGTGGAGATTGTAGTTTATCCAGGTCACATGGACAAGCTGAGGCCTGGCCTCGGATCCACGTTTGTCAGTCCCCAGGCTAAAACATTTCTGTCATCACATCTGCTTCTTTCTCTGTCCTTAACCTCACCTGTGAAGAGAAACGAGAACATTTTGTTTAGTCTTACCTACGTTTTCAGCAGAGGTTCAGTTAAAATCACACAGAACATGCCGACTTTAGGAATAGTGACATGAAAGCGTCAACATTTTTATAAGTATTTTTGGCTTCCATGCAGTATGTATGCTCTTTTCCCCCCCCAAGGAACGTATACTTATAGTCATGAGTGTATTGAATCTGTTGGTAAGAGTTTCTTGAGGCA